TGTTGGAACCTCAAACGAGCCAGGTAGTCATGTGGCTCTGTTTGTAGAGGAAACGCACTAGAAAAGCATTATTTTTTTTAGAAGTACTTCCACATTTTGATGAATGTGATAAACACAGAATGGAGTCAAGATGGTGTTGTGTCTACTGTTGCGTAATGGTTCAGGGGATAAACGGCATTTGTTACCTGTTGTTGTGCTGTTGATGTGTCATAACACAGGTCATGTCAATCATTCACCGGTCTGCCATGACGATGCTGTGCTGTTGATGTGTTATAACATTGGTAGTGTCAATCATTCACTGATCTGCCATGACGATGCTGTGTTGTTGATATGTTATAACACAGGTAGTGTCAATCATTCACCAATCTGCCATGACGATCGTGTGCTGTTGATATGTTATAACACAGGTAGTGTCAATCATTCAGTTATCTGCCATGACGATGTTGTGTTGTTGATATGTTATAACACTGGTAGTGTCAATCATTCACCGATCTGCCATGACGATGGTGTGCTGTTGATGTGTTATAACACAGGTAGTGTCAATCATTCACTGATCTGCCATGACGATGGTGTGCTGTTGATATGTTACAACACAGGTAGTGTCAATCATTCAGTCATCTACCGTGACGATTCTCTGTTGTTGATGTGTTATATCACAGGTAGTGTCCATCATGCAGTGATCTGCCATGACGATCGTGTGCTGTTGATGTGTCATAACACAGGTAGTGTCAATCATTCAGTGATCTGCCATGACGATCGTGTCCTGTTGATGTGTAACAACACAGGTAGTGTCAATCATTCACTGATCTTACATGACGATGGTGTGCTGTTGATGTGTTATAACACAGGTAGTGTCAATCATTCACTTATCTTACTTGATAGTGAACTGGTGAATGATCTGAGACGATGACAGTCTGCTGTTGATCAATCATAGCGTAGATGGTGTCAATCATTTACGGAATTGACATGAAGATGGCGTGCTGTTGATGAATTAAAACACAGTGTCAATCAATCACGGAACTGACGCGAAGATAGCGTGCTGTTGATAAATTCAAACACAAGTACATGTAGTGTCATTCATTCACTGATCTGCCATAACGATGCTGTGATCGTTGATGTGTCTAAACACGGGTAGAGTCAATCATTCACTGATCTTATATCATGATAGTTAGCTGGTGAATGATCTGAGATGATGACAGCCTGCTGTTGATCAATTACATGTAGAGCGTAGTTAGTGTCAATCATTCACGGAATTGACATGGAGATAGCGTGCTATTGATTGATTAAAATACAGTATCAATCATTCACTCATATAGCATGATGATAGCATTAATGTTAATGTGTCAAAACACAGGCAGTTTCAATCATTGACAGGTATGACATGATGATAGTGTTTATTTACTGATAAACTACTATGATAGTGCACTGTTGATGTGTCATAACACAGGCAGTTTCAATCATTCACTGATCTGCCATGATATTATGCTGAAACGAAGTGTGTTATAACTAAGACAGGTATAGTGTTGTGTACTATTGATGTGTTATAACACAGGTAGTGTCAATCATTCACTGATCTGCCATGATATTGTGCTGAAATAGTGTAGGTCATACACTGACATGACAACGAAGTGTTATAAATAAGACAGGTAATTAATTTGTCTTAATTTATATATTTATATGTGATCAAATACTACCCATTGGTAAAATTTAGTTCATATAATATCCTTTACAGATGCAACATAATTTGTTGTTTAATGGCAGGTATCAACATTCCAGTTAAATGACGACAGTTTCTAAATAATTCAGATCCTGTCTGAATCGGACAATCCAGTGATTGACATCATGAGCATCGATGAGCGTTGGGATACTATGACATTCGTCAACCACACCAGCAAGCCTGACTCCTGTCAGTAGCATTGCTTAAGCTCTTACGTACGACAAAGGTTGCTGAAGGTTAATTCTAACCCGGTTCTTCAGCTAGGTCCCATGTTCGTGGTACAATTTACCCGGAGGAAATTTCAGAAGCTTAAGCAAATCTCATAACGTTCAACTGTGTGCTGGTCCAAAGCCACTTTCATGTATATAACACATGGCCACACTTGAAACCTTTCCGCTCCCCTTGCCATGTCGATGTAAGGGAAGCAACTCTACTTTTCTAACTTATGCATCAGTGGTAGAGTGCACGTACGAATCCCGTTCATTTACGATTTGTTTTTCATTTTGTTCATTAACTCAACTGATATAAATAAACCTATGTTAGTTCCGAGAAATTATACATAACAGCAGTACAATTGTAAGCAAATCTACAACTTTGCCAAATCTTCATAATCGAATGATAGATGAATTATATCATATGCCCTGTTGCAACCGAATGTGTTTCAACACAGGAGATCCACCATGGCTAGGTCCTTCTCATCCCTGTCCAGATGATGTTGATGCTTTAGGTTGCATGGGAGGAAACGTATATACTTACCAGAGGCGGAAGGTTGCCGCGTGGTTAACACGTTCGCTCACCCATATGTTCACCAAGTGTGAAGCCGATCTTGGTTCCCCGCCGAGATAATGCTACAATATTTCTAAAAGCGGTCTACTTGGTCTACTCAAAGGGTTAAGTAACTGTGTTGCTAACACCTAACTCGATGTGTTTGCTTTGATGAGGGTTTAAATGGGGTACAGGTGCACGGACCCCGTGACTCTGAATACATTTCATTTTTGACAAAATGAAATAAAAAACAAACAAACAAAAAGAACATGTTAACCTCGGCGTTCATAATTTTAAGTGGTTTACACAAGTCGTGTGTCTGATTATTTCCGTTCGTCAGTTGTGTTGTAAGAGAAAATATTATCTGAAGTATGTGCACGATGCTTACCGTGAAGATCCGGGTTGGAATTGGTCTTCAGAAGCCCCAGCCTGGTTCCCTGGGTCTGTTGCGGGGACAGACCCAGGGAACCACGAGAGTAGCGCAGGCGCAACAGACCCAGGGAACCAGGCTGCAGAAGCCCATGCTTGTCGTAAGAGGCGACTGACGGGATCGGGTGTTCAGTCTCGCTGACTTGGTTGACACATGTCATCGTAATCCAGCTGTGTAGATCGATGCCCATGCTGTTGATCATTGGATTGTCTGGTCCAGACTCGATTATTTACAGACCGTCATCATATGGCTGGAATATTGCTGAGTCAGCGTTAAACAACAAACAAACAAACAAATCTTGTACGCTGCTAGGCCACCTCCGTTATCTCCATCTCTTGGCCAGTCAAAGAATGCGTTGTTTGCCGATTATGCACGCTGCCCTACATATAAATTCAGTCCCTAATACTCACATGTTGATTTTTTTCTCAATCAAATGAAAACATTTCAAACTTGTATAATGATGTCATATGTCTCCACAGAGTTTTATAATCTCAGAGGAATTTCTTAATCTATACGTTTTTGAAACGGCGGTTAACAATAACCAAGTCTGTCTTCACTAGCGGTCTGCTGTGTACATACACAATATTGATCAATTCTGACACAATGTAATACATATTACAAGAATGATATATCATCAAATCTTAGAGATAATAGTTATGAATGAATATGGGTTTGCTGTTGAATATAGCACTATTTTACATATCCCAGTGTCTTTAAAATAAAGAGATTTTTGGTGGGGTTTTATTCTTTTTTTTTCTATTTTTGTTGGTGTCATTCTTCTTTCTGTTGTTGTTGGTTAAAGTTTATGTTAGTTTTCGGGGTGGCGGTGGGTGGGGGGTATGTGAAGGCCATGGGACAGGATTCGGGTTGGCATGTCTACTGACAACAGTGTAGAATGCAGAAGGAGCATTAATTGCTAGTGACTTTGTTCGCCAGTTTATCCAGTTGTAGATGGGTTCAAGGTAGGATGGGATTGTAATATTCCTATGTAATGATCCTCACCAGGGTCTCACCGGGGTTGTATTATTCTCAGGGAGCTGAGAATGAAAATCGAGGGGTCGCCGACCCCTGATAACATTATTAAAGCCTGACTTGGTGCATGCATGTTATCGTATTCCATATCATATATCGATGCTAAGAATGTTAATCATTGGATGGTCTGATCCAGAATCTATTATTTATAAGGAAAAATGGGAGACACAAACCATTCAGTGGCTTTTCAGCAAGGAACGGGGCGGGGGGTAGCCTAGCGGTTAAAGCGTTCGCCTGCCATTTGGAAGACCCGGGTTCGATTCCCCCCATGGGTACAATGTGTGAAGCCCATTTCTGATGTCACCCGCTGTGATATTGCTGGAATATTGCTGAAAGCGGCGTAAAACTAAACTCACTCACTCGGAAAGGAACGTTATTGTTAGAAGGGACGTAAAATCATTTTGACCAACACAATTTATACTGAAGATTGTCGAAACAAAGCATTAAATTGTGACACATAACGTGTTTTCCCAATAAAGAGTCGACTCATAGTGGTCAGTAGCGCTGAGTCAGCTGATGCATGTGCATAAGTCAATGTTCATTATATCAACCTCCAGGACCAACTCGATAATTTACAGATTGCTATTGCTGGAAAGTTTCTGAGTGAGTGAGTATGATTTTACGCCGCTTTTAGCAATATTCCAGCAATATCACGGCGGGGACACACACATTGTACCCATGTGGGGAATCGAACCCTGATATCCGGCTTGACGAGCGAACGCTTTAATCACTAGGCTACCCCCACTGTCCCCGTTGCTGAGAGTGTTAATAGTTGAAACAACAAACTCATAAATAACCTCTACGGGTAATACAATCAGTGTGTTATGAGTAAGCTAAGATTGTAACATTATTACTTGTAAGTCAAAACTAAAGTTGAAAATTACAAGTTTGGGTTATTCGTTACAACATGTCATTTCAACACATTTGCCAGCACAATAACAACAGCTTACAACACAGTTCGGTTTCACGTTACAACGAGCATCCAGACACATCCATAAAGATTACAAATATCTCTGCACTGACATAAATATAGCTTTATATCCTCACGTTGTAAATATAACATGTGACGTCAGTAGGTTTATGGTGCACTGGAAATATACTAGAGTCTAGTAGGGACACTAGCCTGGACGAGAGAGGTACGAGTTCTACTTTACGTTTTCACCTCTCTCTCTCTCTCTCTCTCTCTCTCTCTCTCTCTCTCTCTCTCTCTGATCCGAAAATTACATCACTCACTCACATTACATCATAAATCAAGAAAAGGTGGGGGTTTGGGGGTAATGAATTTTTTATGCTGAACGGTGTACAATGTGAATGCCCCCCCATAAAAAAAATTACGTACAGAGTATTTAAGTGACCCCCCTGCATGTCATGTACAAAATGAATGACCCTCCCTTCCCATAATTTTAAAATATTTTTATGTACAAAATTGATGACCCCCTACCTACCCAGAAGAAAATGAGTGACAATTAACCCACCCACCCCACACCCCTTAAAATCATCATCACTCCCCTATCTATAAATTATGAAAGGTCCTTATGCAGTGAACGACATCTCTGCATGATATATACATGCAATGTATAATGGTTATCGATATTATGCGGCAAATCGAATGGATATAGGCGGCGCTGAATATTCATTGAGGTCATCAAGAACTTCCGCTATCCCGGGCAGAAAGTTGACCTCGCCGGCTGTTGTCAAAACGGGATCGTGATCGCGTGATACATGTAAGTCACTGGTTGTGCATGTTTACTTGTGTCGATGTGGTATCTGCATCCAGCAGTACACAATTAATGGCGTGAATTTACTTATTTTGATGTGTACTTAATGGGTTTATGGCCTTGCAATGCCGGTCATGGATCAAAGGGAGTGCACTCTTGTTTTTTTCTTTTCTCTCTATTGTTTGGTGGTAGGGTCACCGTTATCAGAGCAAGCTCAATTCGATGTGGAAAGCAAATCCAAATCATAGCAGTTTTGGAATTCTTCTCTTCCTTTACTATAATATATTTTACACCGATGACTGCAACTGTTTGTCTATGTGAGGGGTTAAAAATAGGGTGAAAAACATTGTTGTAAAGACATGGTAGAACAAGTGTTTTTTATGCAGTAGGCCAGACCAATTTTATTTCTTGTTTTAAAGATTTTTGTCCTCAGAAAACCTAAAGGCAGGAGGGGAAAAAATAGAAAATACAAATCACCAGTCAAAGTAATATTCCTTTTGAATACTAAAAGTATTTTACTTTTGGCAATTTATGAAGTGTATAAGGGTAAAAAAACAATAAAAACTTTTTTCGTAAGTTTACATTTTGGGGCAATAAAAACATGAGGATTTTATTTTTTTGAGTGGGGAAAATTAATTTCTTTCTTTTTTTATTCTTAAAAATATATGACCAACAAATCCGTTAAACAAGAAATAAAATTGGTCTGGCCTTAATTTGAATTGCAAACAATATATGATCACATCATTAAGATAAGTCAAACATGTTTCCTTTTTTCAGCATTATATTATAATGAACCTAAGTTTGCTTATATGAAAAGTACAGAATTTGTGCATGTGATTTAATGATAAAAAATTTAATTGAAATTTTAAATGAAAGAAAACATGATAAGCAAACAAAGATTCAATGGGATGAAGTGCATGTTGCAGTGTTCAACATCCTATCTAAAGTGTAGCAGTTGGCATACATCAGCCACTTCTGCAGTGAACAAAACACATTGTTGGTTGTGAATGTGATGCTGGACACAAATGCAGCTATCCATAAGGCATGCATTGTCACATCTATGTTAACACGATGATAACTGGTAGCTGACAAAAGCCTTCTCTCAAAAGCCACTATCAAATTCCTTCAGCCCGCACAGATGTATACACCTGGATTCTTTTGTCAAAAAACCTATTGTGAAAAAAACAAACTGGTCAGTCAAAAACAGTTGATGTGAAAGCAAATGCGCTTATTAATAATAATAAGGATTTATGGTTGAATCAAATTTGGGATGATAAAGGGTTAACTAACGGTAATAAACTGAGAACTTATCGACAGTTCAAAATGTCTCTTAATACCTCCCAGTATGTGACTAATGTATCCAGTAGAGAACATCGCAGTTTATTGGCAAAGTTGTGACACCCTTCCTCTCGAAACTGAAACTTTTCCAAAAACCCCATTAACTGACCGTATTTGTAAACACTGTAACGCTAATAGCATTGTAGGCGAGGTTCATTTTCTAACATCATGTAACCTTTATGTAGATTTAAGAACTTATGTTTGGGACTGTGCTTCGTCTCTTAATCCAAATTTTGGTTTATTGACTCCTGTAGAACAGACCATATTTCTCATGCAGTGCGACAACTTATCCAACTCCGTAGCCGCACTAATTAAATCCATGCACAGGCGCAGGTTATATCACAATCCCCTATTGTCACAAGTGTAAATTGGTAAATATCAATACGCTATCTAGGATACGATAATATATATTTTTATTTTTTTATTTTTTATTTTTTTTTTAATTTTTATTTTTTTTTAATGTATATATTAACGTGTATTTTAAATGATTATCAAATGCCCCGTGTATTTGTATTTGTAAAGTGCTTTTAAATTTTGCATACATGTATTTTAGCAGTAGCCCTTATTAAAGCGTTAAGTAGCCCTTGAATTCTTAACTTTGATAGCCTATGTGTTAGAATAGGCTTGGTGACTCTGAATGAGGCTAGCCCTAACGCCCAGCGTTGGCGGGTGTTGTGTATTTTTACATTGTTTTATCATTTTATGTGATTTTCATGTACACAGCACTGGACACCCAAATAAACTATTTTCTTCTTCTTCTTCTTTCTGTGAAATGTGAAACCAAAGGTGGATGCAGGGGTGGGTGCACACACAAACCCCCCTTTTGCCCTGAAAATTTATTAAATTTATTAAATGACCATTGAAACGCTGGTGAAAATGAAGTGTGCACCCCTCCTTTTCTCATTAGTGTGCACCCCCCCTTTCTCAAAAAGCTGTATCCGCCCCTTTTAGTTTTGTTTCTCCTGTGTAGCTTATATTGGTATTGTTACATTTCAGCCTGAGTATCAGCTATGAGTAGCACAGCGGATGTGGAGTCCCTGTTTGACAGGTTCTGGCAGTGGAGACACGCAGACAGTCCTGAGTTTGCTTCCTACTGTGGTAACCATGACAACGAGGACTGCTGGGATGACATCAGCGAAGAAGCATATCTGAACAGAGAGGTCAACAGTTTGTTCAGTATTTGCAGTATTCACTATTTAATATGGCTTGGATGTGTAATGGGGATTTATCTAGGAATCAAAAGTTGATGCCCATGGCTGTAATCAAGGGACCATTCATAATTTATGGCTATGGGAGGTGATGATGATTTTTATGGAGAAGCATGTACAATGTGAATGACATACCCTAAAATTTATGTAAAGAGTAAGTGACCTCCCTGCATGTCATGTACAAAATCAATAACGACATGTCACAAAATCGATGACCCCCCTACCTCCCCAGAACAAAATGGGTGACCCCCGTAAAATCATCCCCCGCTAGCCATAAATTATTAATGGTACCTAAATCAAGGAAAAAGACATTGATATATTTAACATTGGCAATTTTTAAAAAGTTCTTAGTTGTTATTTTCTGTATCATTCGAACTTTAAAAAGTTCTTAGTTGTTATTTTAAGTATCATTCGAACTTGGCAGCCACCTCGATCAAGTTACACATTTGACAAAACCCTTCACTATATCTGATAAGTAATAGCCAGAAGAAGATGTAGAGAAAATAGTCAGATATTGTTGGTAATATCTTCGCACTGTCAGCCTTTTGTGTTATATTTTCAGGCTAAGGTTCGAGAGTTCCTGTCAGAAGCTGAAGCTTTGGATGCCAGGTCGTGCTCCCAGGTAACCAGAGACAGCCTTGCCATCATCAAGGAAGACCTGAAATCCTACCTAGATGGGGCAAAGTTTAAGTGGTAAGTAGTCATGTTTGGTAGCAATCTTTGCTGAACAGATATCCTGGTGTCAGAAGTCGGTCATGCTATCAACCATTGTTTTCTGTATTTTCACTTGGTTATTTATAGTCAGCTGTGGTATGGCTTGAACAATTTGGCGTTCACTCCTATTCATAGTCTTACACCACTCATTGCCTCACACTACTACTGCTGCTACTGCTAGTCCTCCTCCTCCTCCTCCTACTACTACTACTACTACTATTACTACTGCTACTACCACTACTACTACAAGGGCTGTAAGGATGCTTCTAACTATCGATAGATTGCAATTGTTGAGTCTCTGATATCAATTAATCAATGGTAGAAATGAAAAACTATCGATGCATCGATAGTATGTGTGGCTATCGATAGTTTAGTACTTGACTTCCGTTGATAAATATGCAGTGCAAAATACAGGATGTTTGGATGCAGACTTGCAGCTTCATTGAGTTTGTTTTAAATGTTTACTTGATTGGGTTTCAAGTTTCTTGTGAGTTATTAAAAGAGTTATTTCATTTAAACTATACATTCAATTGGGAAATGACTTCAAATGAGATAATTCAAGGAGAAAAACTTATTGCATTAGTATTGCAATAGTTGGTCGCAATAGACTATCGCTATCGCATTAGTATATTGCATTAGACTATCGCTAGTCACCCCTAACTACAGCTAGTACTAATGCTGCTGCTGCTGCTGCTCCTACTACTACTACTACTACTACTACTACTACTACTACTACTGCTGCCACCACTACTACTACTACCTGTGAGAACCGTGAAGATCCGGGGTAGAATAGGTCTTCAGCAACCCATGCTTGCCACAAAAGGCGACTATGCTTATCGTAAGAGGCGACTAACAGGATCGGGTGGTCAGGCTTGCTGACTCGGTTGACACATGTCATCATATCCCAAATGCGCAGTATGATGCTCGAATATTGCTGAGTGCAGCGTAACACTGAACTCACTCAATCACTCTACTACCCGTGAAGATCTGGGTTAGAATTGATCTTCAGCAACCCATGCTTGTCATAAGAGGCGACTAACGTGATCGAAAGGTCAGACTCGCTGGCTTGGTTGACACATGTCATCATATCCCAATTGCGTAGATCGATGCTCATGCTGTTGATCACTGAGTTGTCTGGTCCAGACTCGATTTTTTACAGACTACTGCCTACGACTACTACTACTACTACTACTACTACTACTGCTACTACTACTGCTACTACTACTACTACTGTGAAAACACCTACTACTTCGACAACAACTACTACTACAATATATTTTACTAAATACCTGTACTTCATGTGCAGCTACCTGTTCCCTATAAACTTCATGGAGGGTATCCACAATGAGCTGCACCAGGTGCTAGGCTACCAAGACTTCAACTCCCACGTTGGCTACACGAAGTATCTGGCCAAGCTCAAGGCATTGCCTCACAGGGTAAGTCACATACACAACGTGAATGCCAGTTGTTTTAGTCATACCGGGGATTTAACCAGTCATTCTCAGACACCAATAATAACAGGAGGTATCAATATTGGATATTATGACCTATGAGGGCGATAATATCGGGGTTAATATTTTTCATACAATGCCCTTGGGCAAAATATCACTTTGTCATGGTGACGTGACATCATGAACAATGTTATGACATCATGTTTCTTCTATGATGTTGCGTTCTACATGCGGCGACGGTGGGTAGACAGCCTATGTTTGAAAGTAGATTTGGGTTTATTTTCCTGAATTTGACGACTTCGGTAATAAACAGAATATCATATTTGTGCCCATATCATGCTATGTTTACGACACTCGCTCTCGCTCAGGAAATACCAACATTTAGGCACTCATGTCGTAAACATAGTGGGCACTCACATAATATCCTCTACATACTACTGGCATGCACATTTTAGATTTTGTTTTTGTAATTTTGTTGTAGTTTTATTCAACTACCAATTTTCTCCAAGAGCATTATATTTTGTAAGCCCTGGGGAGACCTTGTAATATCTGATATACTACATTCTATGTTATTTAAAGGGGATAATGGTCCGTGAAGATCCGGGTTAGAATTGGTCTTCAGTTACCGATGTTGTCGTAAGAAGTGCTGGCAGGATTGGGTGGTCATGCTCGCTGACTTGGTTGACACATGTCATCGTCTCCCAAGTGCATAGATCGATGCTCATGCTGTTCATCACTGGATTGTCTGGTCCAGACTCAATCATTTAGAGACCGTAGCCACATAGCTGGAATATTGCTGAGTGCTGTGTAAACAACAAACAAACAATTCAAGTGCATCCTAACAGCAGTTTCTCATTTACTACTGAAGTGTACTGTACAGTTGCAGATGATGTGGTAATGAAGTCATTTAGCCATGTGTCACCTGCATGACGTATAGAGATAGAATCTTCTATTCTCAGGAACCTAGATATAACTTTTCCTTTGATTCCTATGGTTATTGATCCACTGTGCAGATCCAAAATGTCCCATGTAATGCAAAAGGACATTAAGGAAAGTCGTTTTTCCTTGATGGATCTAATTACCAATTTCAGTTATCTTTGATGGAGATATATTTAGGAGGGAAGTATCCCTTTGAAATTTAATTTAATTCAACTTGTTTAGTTGTCTGATAATTATTGTATTGGAATACTTTACAAAATGAGTTTTCACACACACATGAGAATTATATTTCGAATGGTTTACAGATTCTCCAAGTGATTCCTGTCTTAAAACAAGGAATAAAGGAAGGACTCACTATGCACAAACATTCCTTGGTGAGTGTATTTGATATATGTTGGAATATTTTCTTTGTGATTAGTTCACATTCATTGTGTCACATGCGATAACACTAAACATGGGACAATACCAAACAGGGGATAGTACCAAACAGGGGACAATACCAAACAGGGGACAATACCAAACAGGGGATAGTACCAAACAGGGGACAATACCAAACAGGGGACAATACCAAACAGGGGATAGTACCAAACAGGGGACAATACCAAACAGGGGACAATACCAAACAGGGGACAATACCAAACAGGGGATAGTACCAAACAGGGGACATTACCAAACAGGGGACAATACCAAACAGGGGACAGTACCAAACAGGGGACAGTACCAAACAGGGGACAATACCAAACAGGGGATAGTACCAAACAGGGGATAGTACCAAACAGGGGACAATACCAAACAGGGGATAGTACCAAACAGGGGACAATACCGGGGACAATACCAAACAGGGGACAATACCAAACAGGGGATAGTACCAAACAGGGGACAATACCAAACAAACGGGGATAGTACCAAACGGGGACAATACCAAACAGGGGACAATACCAAACAGGGGATAGTACCAAACAGGGATAGGTACCAAACCAAAGGGGACAATACCAAACAGGGGACAGTACCAAACAGGGGACAGTACCAAACAGGGGATAGTACCAAACAGGGGACAATACCAAACAGGGGATAGTACCAAACAGGGGATAGTACCAAACAGGGGACAATACCAAACAGGGGACAAACAGGGGACAATACCAAACAGGGGACACTACCAAACAGGGGACAGTACCAAACAGGGGATAGTACCAGACAGGGGATAGTACCAAACAGGGGACAATACCAAACGCGGGACAATACCAAACAGGGGACAATACCAAACAGGGGATAGTACCAAACAGGGGACAATACCAAACAGGGGACAATACCAAACAGGGGATAGTAACAAACAGGGGATAGTACCAAACAGGGGACAATACCAAACAGGGGACAATACCAAACAGGGGATAGTACCAAACAGGGGATAGTACCAAACAGGGGACAATACCAAACAGAAGACAATACCAAACAGGGGACAATACCAAACAGGGGATAGTAACAAACAGGGGATAGTACCAAACACTGGATAGTAACAAACATGGGATAGAGTATCAGATGTTGGATAGTACCACACATGAGATGGAGTACCAAATGTGGGATAGTTTCAAACAATGGAAAGTACCAAACATTGGATAAATCCAATCTTGTGACATTACCAAACATTGGATAGAGTACCAAATGTGGGATAGCCTCAAACAAAGGATAGTACCAAACAATAGATAGTTCCAAACATAGGATGGTTCCAAATGTTAGACAGAGTACCAAACATTGGATAGTACCAAACATGATAGTGCCATCCATGGGATAGAGTGCACACACAATGGATACAAAAAATGGAAACTTCAATGGAAACCTGAAGAAATGTTATGTGCTATGTTAAAAAGACAAACATTAGAAGGTAGTATGTTGACAGGATTGTTGACAAGTAAATTGATATAAAAATAAGATGAAATCCCTATCTCAGTCCTGTGTTCCTGTCATCTCCTACTCCACACAGTGAGTTTGGCTTTAAAGAACTGACACACTTTTGATTACCATTGATTGACCTCTCTTTTGCAACATATGTTATAGTTGGGATTATGCCTACTCAGTAAAACACAAATTCTAGTACTTTTTCGGGTTGAGTCCTCTCCAGGATTCGAACCCACAGTCCTGATTGCCAGCACTCAAAGTCAGCGATCTAACCTATTCAGCCATCACGGCTTCCACAAGTCTGCCAATTGATAGTCAAGATCACATATTAAATTTACCCCTCTGACTATGTCCACTCTATTGTCTCTCATTCAGGAATCGGTGCCAAGCCAGTTGGAGATGATGATAACAGAACCTGTTGAAGAATCTGTACTGATACAGCCGTTCCTCAAATCAGAAGGGCCACTCTCTACAGAAGAGCTGTATGTTCTCAGTAATACAACAAAACCTTGATATTCTTGCACTGTAACATTTCCAGATTCATGTTCTTCCTCAGGGAAGAACTGACCAAGGTTAATTCTTCTCCCAATGTGAACCCAACCTTGGCCAGTTCTTCTCCAATAGCTTTAACCCTTCAAATGGTACTCAAGCATGTGTTGTATCATCAATCATGAAGATTTTGCTGAAATTGTTTCATGTTACAAAGACTTAATCTTGGCTGCAAGAGTTGTATACTCTCCAGGGAGTTGAGATTGATAATATGATGTGCCATTGAGAATGACATCCAATGGTCGAGGGGGAAAAAATATCAGCGCCTTGAGCAAGCACTAGTTGCCTGGATATGTGCGCTATATAAGTATCCTTTAATAAAATAAAATAAAATAAAAAAATAAACATAACTGTTTTATGTCATCAAAAGGCAGGAGCACACATATTTCCTTAAAAGAATTGCATTTCTATCCTTGATTGAGCTAAATAATTGCCCAAACTTGCTCACGTGTGATCATTTCTTTATTATCCATTTTATTCATGTGCATTTGTGCAGTAAAACTCAGTAATCAAGTGTGACAGCCCTCTTCATTGACGTCACGTTTAATTGTTTAATGATGTCACAGACGACGAAACACAGAAACAATGGTTGACTAAGCAAAAGAGTTGTTCATGGTTGAGACATCTGGTTGGATTTTCATTACTTCAATATTTAAAGACAAGATATGAATTATTATGTTCTGTTCAGTAGTCAAGTGGTGATGAAACTGTTTTCAGTACTGAAGCAAGCGAAGATGGATGTATTAAGAACAATTGACATTGTTTTCATGACATATAGAGAATCTCACCCAAGTGTCTACTGATATCAATTATATCAACGAAAGTGTTGATGTAATATGATATCAGGGATATTTTTTACACTTATCAACGAGTGGTGATTGATTTTATTTATCATCATCGAAAATCATTCTTCATTAGTTTTCAATGACAAATGTACATCTCTCAACACTGTACTACCAATTAGACTTGCAGTGCAGTGATGTCATAGCATTGTGATGACATCAAGTTGATGATGTCATAGCATTGTCAGGGCATTGTACAAAATCTACTGTCAAAAGGATATCTCCTAGGAGATATCATATGATCTCACACAAGCAATATCTCCTGTGGAACACAGTTTTGGATGATAAATGTTCTAAATAAGATTCTCATAACTGATTTTATCACATGTTTGTCTTGTTACAGAGACACATTGAAACAGCAGGCCGAGAGTGTACTCATTACTAACATCAGGCCTTGTCTGGAGAAGCTGAAAGACTTCCTAGTAAATGTATGTATATAACTATATGCGAGACATCTGTAAATGTTCAAGTCCTGGCAAACTAGTGGTTGATATCACGAGCATCAATCAAAGCAGTTGGTATACGATGACATGACAATCAGTTTAGGAGCTGGATCCCTCAATCTCTACAGTTTATTCTTGTGATTAGTTGCTGGAGACATTGTCTTTTTAGCTCATCTGACTTTCAAGCAACTGAGGTAGATTTAACTCTGATTTACCAAAAAGCCCCAAGCAGTTAGTTGCTCAAACCTGGTTAGAAATAGTATCACCACAGGAATCCAGCAATCCATGTACATCAGACTACACAATAAACGCTGAATAATTCATGTGTGCTCACTGGGATGCAGAAAATATGTCAGCATGTTGAGACTGCATAGATATTGCTGTTTCATAATTAGGTGCAAATTTGATTAAACCCATCAGTTGCTTGATGAAGACAACCAAGAATTAGTTTAATAACTAATATGGAACTTGAACCCAAGATCATAGTATTCTGGCACGTCTAAGGGACATTAGTCTGTACACCTAGTTGTGCAGACGTATCTTTTTGGATTCAACCCATGATGAAAGCACTCTGGCATATATAATGGAAATAACTTTGCACAGCAAATTGTTGTACCTTTTCCCATTATAAGAGGTATTGTCAGAAGATAATGTGATGTTGCAGGAATACATGCAACACCTCAGGGCAGCAGAAGGGGTGTGCACGCTCAAGAATGGTGTGGAGTTCTACCAGATGTGCCTCAACTTCCACCTGTCCTGTGACATGTCACCACAGGAAGTGCATGACCTTGGTCTCAAGGAGGTTGCTAGGATACGCAAACAAATGCTGGAAATATCAGAAAAAGAAGGTTTTGGACAAGATCTTAAAGCATTCCAGAAGAAATTACATACAAGCAAGGAATTCAGTTTCAGTTCAGTGGTAATAAGTTTTGACATAAATTTATCAGAATATGAATTTAACATGCCTTCTACAGAAGTGCATTGCTTTGAGGAATTCAATTCACTATGTATTTATGTGTACAAGCAAAAAAGCCAATTGTTGCCAACTATTCACCTCTATCACTTTCGCCAGTACTATTGCTAGTCTGAGTCCTTTTCCATGACTGCAATTATGTGACCATTAAACATTCTCAAAACTATTAATGTATAATAATATAAAGGAAATACAAATGGTATTACTACTAGTTTTGACTACAAGTACGAAAATTACCGATCATATCAGGTAAACCGATTCGCGAAAAGTGTACCGCATTATCTCGTATTATGAAGTTAGAATTGCAATATACCGGTTAACCGGTATTATCGCCCATCCCTACTGATTATCTGATCATATAGTGGCCAAACTTGACATTTTTAATTGCGATTCAGGTCTCTGTATTCAATAACAATGTTGTTATTTGACAAGGCAAGCCAGATATCTTTATGACAGTGTTCTGTTTTCTTATTCAAAATAAAATCCTGAAACAAAATAAAATCCTTAAACAGATATGGAAAAGGAACTGTATGTAGAGATCTTGAAAATGGAAACTGTTTAATGATAAATTCTTACTTTGATGTGTCTGGTGTGTTCATATTGAGCATTGACTCAGTGAGTGAAAGTTTAAATTTACAGTCAGATCGGCAGTATTTCAGCCATATCAAGACTAAAACAAGTTTCAAATTGACCATGAATACATGTAAATTATAAAAATCCTGTCAACGAAGGACAGTAAAACCAACTAGAATATCACAGTATCAAGAATTAAAACTAACATCTCATTCTAAAATTAGATTTCAAATTAGGACAAGACAGTATTAAAATGGGCTATAGATCGCCAACAACTGAAGGTAGATCACCATACTAGGGACCATGGGGACTTACAGTGCCTTTGCTACCTGGATGGACCCTAGTTGGATTTACACCGTCCCTTCAGATGTTAGCGATTGTAGACAAATCTAGCCTTTAGTTAAAATAACATATCTCCTACGATTAAATAATGTGGTAGGTTTACATTTTTTTGAATGTTTTGAGACTTACGTATCCTCTCAGGAGGACAATAGTTTTACAGTACTTTGAACCCCATCGAGGATACAGCCACTATCAATCTCAGTTACTAATCTAAACTACCAATCATAAAAGTACATGTATTTACAAGACATATTAATCAAAATTTGTCTATCAATTCTATCTCTTTTAAAAATTCAATAATAAAATGATGATTATCATTATAAAAAGATCTTTAACAGTTTTAACACTGAAATATTTATCCCTTGTGATGGAAAAATCATTTTGATACAGTCAAGCAGGACATGCTTGACATATTGATCCAGATGATATTCAGTTGATTGATAACATAACAGCAGATGACATCTTATTTGCCTTCATCGCAGTGCATGAGAATCTGTAAAATATGTACATATTGCCATGGTAACTAGTGTTGAAGTATTAACACTATGAGAGATGGTGATTCCTGCATCTGATCAAGTTAGCCTGGTGATTCCTTTTTCCACTTTGTTTGTATAGTCTGTGGCTCTTAGTAATTTGTGGGGGCGGTGAGGTAGCCTAGTGGTTAAAGCATTTTCTCATCATGCCAAAGGTCTGGGTTTGATTCCCCGATGGGTACACTGTGTGAAGCCCATTTCTGGTGTCCCCCCTGCCGTGATATTGCTGGAACATTGCTAGAAGCGTTGTTAAACTAAACTCACTCACTCACTCACTCGTAGTATTTGTTTTATATGTGAGTATTTCGTGTCAAACTGTGACTTGTTGGTGTAACTTACAGGATGAAGTGATGAACTACGTCAAGGACATCTGCTTTAACCAGATCCGTCCCCAACTCCATCGACTGTTTCACACCCTCCCAGACATTCCTCTAGCGTAAGTACTGGTATCACAAGATAACCACACACTCCCCAGACATTCCTCTAGAGTAAGTACTGGTACAGGAAGATAACCCACACTCTCCCAGACATTCCTCTAGAGTAAGTACTGGTATAGGAAGATAACTCCCACACTCTCCCAGACATTCCTCTACATTCCTCTAGAAGTAGTACTGGTATAGCAAGATAGCCCACACACTCTCCCAGACATTCCTCTAGAGTAAGTACTGGTATAGCAAGATAACTCACACTCTCCCAGACATTCCTCTAGAGTAAGTACTGGTATAGCAAGATAACTCACACTCTCCCAGACATTCCTCTAGAGTAAGTACTGGTATAGCAAGATAACTCACACTCTCCCAGACATTCCTCTAGAGTAAGTACTGGTATAGCAAGATAACTCTCCCACACACTCTCCCAGACATTCCTCTAGAGTAAGTACTGGTATAGCAAGATAACTCACACTCTCCCAGACATTCCTCTAGAGTAAGTACTGGTATAGCAAGATAACCCACACTCTCCCAGACATTCCTCTAGAGTAAGTACTGGTATAGCAAGATAACTCACACTCTCCCAGACATTCCTCTAGAGTAAGTACTGCAAGATATAGACAAGATAACTCACACTCTCCCAGACATTCCTCTAGAGTAAGTACTGGTATAGGAAGATAACTCCCACACTCTCCCAGACATTCTCTCTAGAGTAAGTACTGGTATAGCAAGATAACCCACACTCTCCCAGACATTCCTCTAGAGTAAGTACTGGTATAGCAAGATAACCCACACTCTCCCAGACATTCCTCTAGAGTAAGTACTGGTATAGCAAGATAACCCACACTCTCCCAGACATTCCTCTAGAGTAAGTACTGGTATAGCAAGATAACCCACACACTCCCCCAGACATGCCTCTAGAGTAAGTACTGGTATAGCAAGATAACTCACACTCTCCCAGACATTCCTCTAGAGTAAGTACTGGTATAGCAAGATAACCCACACTCTCCCAGACATTCCTCTAGAGTAAGTACTGGTATAGCAAGATAACTCACACTCTCCCAGACATTCCTCTAGAGTAAGTACTGGTATAGCAAGATAACTCACACTCTCCCAGACATTCCTCTAAGTACTGGTATAAGATAACCCACACTCTACATTCCTCTAGAGTAAGTACTGGTATAGCAAGATAACTCACACTCTCCCAGACATTCCTCTAGAGTAAGTACTGGTATAGCAAGATAACCCACACTCTCCCAGACATTCCTCTAGAGTAAGTACTGGTATAGCAAGATAACTCACACTCTCCCAGACATTCCCTCTAGAGTAAGTACTGGTATAGATAACTCACACTCTCCCGGAGACATTCTGGTATAGCAAGATAACTCACACTCTCCCAGACATTCCTCTAGAGTAAGTACTGGTATAAGATAGGCCCACACACTCATAGGTCAGACATGCCTCTAGAGTAAAGTATTACACCTCTCCAGACATTCCTCTAAGTAAGTACTGGTCCCAGACATTCCTCTAGAGTAAGTACTGGATAACAAGATCACACTCTCCCAGACATTCCTCTAGAGTAAGTACTGGTATAGCAAGATAACTCACACTCTCCCAGACATTCCTCTAGAGTAAGTACTGGTATAGCTGGTAAGATAACTCCACACTCTCCCAGACATTCCTCTAGAGTAAGTACTGGTATAGGAAGATAACCCACACTCTCCCAGACATTCCTCTAGAGTAGTAGTACTGGTAAGTAGCAAGATAACTCCACACTCTCCCAGACATTCCTCTAGAGTAAGTACTGGTATAGCAAGTACAGGGAAGTATATAGCAAGATAACCCACACTCTCCCAGACATTCCTCTAGAGTAAGTACTGGTATAGGAAGATAACTCACACTCTCCCAGACATTCCTCTAGAGTAAGTACTGGTATAGCAAGATAACCCACACTCTCCCAGACATTCCTCTAGAGTAAGTACTGGTATAGCAAGATAACTCACACTCTCCCAGACATTCCTCTAGAGTAAGTACTGGTACAGGAAGATAACCCACACTCTCCCAGACATTCCTCTAGAGTAAGTACTGGTATAGCAAGATAACCCACACTCTCCCAGACATTCCTCTAGAGTAAGTACTGGTATAGCAAGATAACCCACACTCTCCCAGACATTCCTCTAGAGTAAGTACTGGTATAGCAAGATAACTCACACTCTCCCAGACATTCCTCTAGAGTAAGTACTGGTATAGGAAGATAACCCACACTCTCCCAGACATTCCTCTAGAGTAAGTACTGGTATAGCAAGATAACCCACACTCTCCCAGACATTCCTCTAGAGTAAGTACTGGTACAGGAAGATAACCCACACTCTCCCAGACATTCCTCTAGAGTAAGTACTGGTATGGCTGAATAATCACAAGATAACTACTGGTATAGCAAGATAACCCACACTCTCCCAGACATTCCTCTAGAGTAAGTACTGGTACAGGAAGATAACCCACACTCTCCCAGACATTCCTCTAGAGTAAGTACTGGTATAGCAAGATAACCCACACTCTCCCAGACATTCCTCTAGAGTAAGTACTGGTATAGCAAGATAACCCACACTCTCCCAGACATTCCTCTAGAGTAAGTACTGGTATAGGAAGATATTCCACTCTCTCAATGACATTCCCAGAGTGTAAGCAGCATGTCCTTATCTCTTTGATTAGAGTTTTCAAGAACTAAATTTTGATGAACTTAAAGATTTTGTAAAAAAAGAATTTGTACCAAAACTTTAATTATTATTAGCTCTGTGCTGACTTTGACAAGAGTAGTCATTTGTGTATGATGATAACTCTCAAGTGTTGACATGATGTTGTGACCCTTGCAGGTTACAGTTAACACCACCATCCATGGCCAATTCCCCAGCTGGGTTCTACACGGCTGGGACAGCAGACAAGTCCAGGCCAGGCCTCTACCAGATCAATGCGAATAAGCTGGAGTCTTGGTAAGTAATATATTTTCCCCATAAATGAAAGTTGACATGTAGGTTTATCTGTTTATTGGGCAAACCCTGCCATCAGGTACTAGAGCACCCCTGTTCACAACTTAGTTGAGTCTACCTGTCTTGAATTACTTTGGGACTTCCAGTGCTGAATATCATGCACTGAGTACATTTATATGTAGAAAATTTGGTGGTATTACTTATGAGTTTTATGGAGATGCACACAGTCTTTAAGGAACATCCTTAAGTTCATCCTAGACCATATTAGTGGGGAGTTGGCGAGGAGAAAATGAGTGCATGATTCTCATCATTTACTGATTACAATGAAGCCATCTTTGTCATTTTTGTTCATGTTGATGATTTGAGTAGTCTGGATGCTCCCATTATCAAATGCTCAACCTGCCTTCCGTTTGCTGCAGCCAGGGACTCAAACCACCTACCATCCGTTCTGGGGGTAGTCACTCTATCTGCTACACCACTGAGATGGTATATATTGTAGTATGTCGTGATAATTGTATGTGTTCACAGTAAGAAGTACGAGTTTATGGCGTTGAGTCTACATGAAGGGGAACCAGGACATCACCTGCAGGTAGGCTAGTCTTCATCCACAGTCTGTGCAGTGCGTAGATATTCTGGAATGATGCAGGGAAGGTTGAGATATATCACATTTAGAAAGTTCCTGCTGAACTTCCAGGATATATGGATGTCGTCACTAATTAGCCATGTTTTTTCCTCAGGTTTAGGTTTGTTTACTGAAAGCTTTATATACCAGCTTTTCTGCAGCAGTGAATGGGACCATGTGTAGCTGTAACTGTAGAGGAAGTGATGTAATTCCAGCGGATATTGCATGGCTTTATTGTAAACAGCTACTATTGCTAAATGTACTTGTCATTAGGTATTATAATAGATATGCCTTACATGACCTATAGTTACAACTAAATCACCGGTCGCTCGCTGGCTAACCTGTGCACAGCTGATTGCTATTTCTGGCTTTGTATACATGACAAATGCACATGCTTAGCAAAAACAAATTAGAACAGAAAAGTTAAATAATCTTGTCTAGTGATGTTTAATTGCAAATTTTTCATTGTTCATCTTCTCTTGTTCGTTCGCGCGAAGCGATACAATGTCATTTTCTTACCCCTGAAAAAAGTTTGACGAAAGTGTAACCCGTAGATAAGCCAACCCTCTTATACAGATGGCTGTTTTTGGTCCTCAAAATTGGCTTATCTCCTGGAATATATGGTACATTGGTGAGACTGAAAATAAATACAGGATGCCATTGAGAAAGTTGTCAAATGTAATGTGCTATACTTGGAATTTCAGTTTCTCAGTAAAGTACAGGTTCTAGAACTTAATCGGGTTGAGTCCCATCAGGGATTCGAATCCAGTCTCAGGGTCAGGCACCAAGTCAGCACGTAGCAAGTCAGCAATCTAACCCACTCAGCCAGCACAGCTTCCACAAAAATGGAAGTCTGACAACTGGTAGTCTAGATCAGGTGGGAGACGTGCCAGTTTATGCTTGTAAGAGGGGAACACATATTGACACTGTAGCAAGAATTATTCTTAATACATGGATTGTATTTCTATGAGGCTGAAAATATGCTGAAAGCCATTAAAACGCAATTTGATATTCATACTTTCTTTACTCACACAAATGTGAACATATATAAATGTAACTGGCAGATATGTTTTAAGTGAACATCTGTGGATAATTTCATCTGAAAATGTCCAATCAACAACAACGTCAGTGATGCAACAACGACATCAAACAAAGGAGGGGTCACTTGCAGACAATATCGTGTGTGCCCACTGTGCACAAGATACAAATTTCTCAGGAACAGCTGTGGAATGGTCTGCCAGTGATGTGGAAGGGCCTGTGTCAATTCAGCAACTGTCCTCACAACTCTCCGTCCAGGCCCATCCCACAGATGCTCGATTGGGTTCATGTCTTGGGACAATGAAGGCCAGTCCATCATATGAACTTTCTCATTACTAAAAACACCCCTTGTTGCCCTGGTTGCATGGGGACGTGCATTATCATGCTGAAACACAAAATGGTTACGACCGCCATGTTGATCTATCATTGTGAGTACATCCGGATGAAGGATTTTGTCCACATTACGTTGAGCATTCAGATTGCTGTTAACCACTACCATCTGGGATCGGAAGTTGGCATTGATAGCACGTCAGATCATGACACCACCTCCTCCAAAACGATCATGTTCAAGGACACTTTGGCTCAAGTCTTTCTCCTTGATGTCGATAAATCCGTTGATGTCCATCTGCAAAGGATACGTTAAACCTGGATTCATCTGAAAAAATGACATCTCGCCATGGCCTGTTGCCAAGATTGGGTCAACCAACAGTGGATGGATGCACATTTAAGTGCCTGGCAACCATCACATCTGAAGCACCTTGGCTGACCATACTGATAGCATGATTCCTTTCGACTTGTGTCAAGCGTGGCATTTTCTCAAAGTGATTGAGTGTCACAATTCCTTGTGCTTTTAAAGGGCCTGGGTGCAGGTAATGCACGTGCACAACGTGTTTCATGAATGTGGTTGTGTTTACAAGAACTGTCAAAGGTTCAGTTTTAAGCATCAAAGTTCATGTGAGAGGAATGCTTGGGGACTCGAACTCGAAATAGACCAAAATAGCAGCCTTTTATTCCTACATCCTCTGTATCACAGGAAAAAATCTTCAATAGAACTTTTGTAAGTTCCAGGACAACAAATACCAATTGCATTTTTATTGGCTGTCAGTGTATTTTTGGTTACGTGATTGCCATGCTTTATGCATACAGAATATTTTTATTAATATGATAAAATCAAGACATTTAATCGACTGCATCTATGCTTGCTTATCATATGAATCCCTTTTGCAGCACAGCCTTTCTATGGCTACAACTGTCCCCGTGTTCAGACAGTATGTAGAGGACGGCAAGTACTACTTGACACCAGGGAGGTTCCCCATGCACACAGCATACATTGAGGTGAGTGGTCCTTGTGTCAGACAGTATGTAGAGGACAGCAAGTACTACTTAACACCAGGGAGGTTCCCCATGCACACAGCATACATTGAGGTGAGTGGTCCTTGTGTCAGACAGTATGTAGAAGACAGCAAGTACTACTTAACACCAGGGAGGTTCCCCATGCACACAGCATACATTGAGGTGAGTGGTCCTTGTGTCAGACAGTATGTAGAGGACAGCAAGTACTACTTAACACCAGGTAGGTTCCCCATGCACACAGCATATATTGAGGTGAGTGGTCCTAGTATCAGATGAGTAGTATGTAGAGGACAGCAAGTACTACTTCTTAACACCAGGGAGGTTCCCCATGCACACAGCATACATTGAGGTGAGTGGTCCTTGTGTCAGACAGTATGTAGAGGACAGCAAGTACTACTTAACACCAGGGAGGTTCCCCATGCACACAGCATACATTGAGGTGAGTGGTCCTTGTGTCAGACAGTATGTAGAGGACAGCAAGTACTACTTAACACCAGGGAGGTTCCCCATGCACACAGCATGCATTGAGGTGAGTGGTCCTTGTGTCAGACAGTATGTAGAGGACAGCAAGTACTACTTAACACCAGGGAGGTTCCCCATGCACAGCATACATTGAGGTGAGTGGTCCTTGTGTCAGACAGTATGTAGAGGACAGCAAGTACTACTTAACACCAGGGAGGTTCCCCATGCACACAGCATACATTGAGGTGAGTGGTCCTTGTGTCAGACAGTATGTAGAGGTTCCCCATGGACATTGAGGTGAGCAAGTACTACTTAACACCAGGGAGGTTCCCCATGCACACAGCATAGTGGTCCTTGTGTCATGTGAGCAAGTACTACTTAACACCAGGAGGATGCACACAGCATACATTGAGGTGAGTGGTCCTTGTCAGGGAGGTTCCCCATCAGACAAGTATGTAGAGGACAGCAAGTACTACTTAACACCAGGGAGGTTCCCCATGCACACAGCATACATTGAGGTGAGTGGTCCTTGTGTCAGACAGTATGTAGAGGACAGCAAGTACTACTTAACACCAGGGAGGTTCCCCCATGCACACAGCATACATTGAGGTGAGTGGTCCTTGTGTCCAGACAGTATGTAGAGGACAGCAAGTACTACTTAACACCAGGGAGGTTCCCCATGCACACAGCATACATTGAGGTGAGTGGTCCTTGTATCAGACAGTATGTAGAGGACAGCAAGTACTACTTAACACCAGGGAGGTTCCCCATGCACACAGCATACATTGAGGTGAGTGGTCCTTGTGTCAGACAGTATGTAGAGGACAGACAAAGTACTACTTAACACCAGGGAGGTTCCCCATGCACACAGCATACATTGAGGTGAGTGGTCCTTGTGTCAGACAGTATGTAGAGGGACAGCAAGTACTACTTAACACCAGGGAGGTTCCCCATGCACACAGCATACATTGAGGTGAGTGGTCCTTGTGTCAGACAGTATGTAGAGGACAGCAAGTACTACTTAACACCAGGGAGGTTCCCCATGCACACAGCATACATTGAGGTGAGTGGTCCTTGTATCAGACAGTATGTAGAGGACGGCAAGTACTACTTAACACCAGGGAGGTTCCCCATGCACACAGCATACATTGAGGTGAGTGGTCCTTGTGTCAGACAGTATGTAGAGGACAGCAAGTACTACTTAACACCAGGAGGTTCCCATGCACACAGCATACATTGAGGTGAGTGGTCCTTGTGTCAGACAGTATGTAGAGGACAGCAAGTACTACTTAACACCAGGGAGGTTCCCCATGCACACAGCATACATTGAGGTGAGTGGTCCTTGTGTCAGACAGTATGTAGAGGACGGCAAGTACTACTTAACACCAGGAAGGTTCCCCATGCACACAGCATACATTGAGGTGAGTGGTCCTTGTGTCAGACAGTATGTAGAGGACAGCAAGTACTACTTAACACCAGGGAGGTTCCCCATGCACACAGCATACATTGAGGTGAGTGGTCCTTGTGTCAGACAGTATGTAGAGGACAGCAAGTACTACTTAACACCAGGAAGGTTCCCCATGCACACAGCATACATTGAGGTGAGTGGTCCTTGTGTCAGACAGTATGTAGAGGACAGCAAGTACTGCTTAACACCAGGGAGGTTCCCCATGCACACAGCATACATTGAGGTGAGTGGTACTTGTGTCACACAGTTGTATATCCATAAAAAAATTGTTCTCCTTCGTGATTTCAGTAAAGATGCGCTTTTTGAGCGTAAAATGGTAAAAATGTAACAAACTTATCCTTACTTTCTGTCTTGGTACACAGGGTTGGGGCCTGTACTCAGAGTCACTGGGCCTGGAACTAGGAATGTACACAGACAACTACTCCCTGTAAGTTCATAGAGTCTTGTACTGTCTCTTTAATTGTGCCTTTCTTTTATTACATTTGGTAACTACCTGTATTACCCTATAACGGCATAGGTGTTATAGTCATCTGTCGTTTTGCAAAGAGTTGTGTCCATTAGCTGTGTCAGGATCCTCTTGGTGCAGGACTAAATTAAGTCCTTCCTATTTTACAATGGGTAACACTCTTTCTTAATTCAGTAGCATGTATGTTCCGGACATCTGTCTTGGTGGAAGGAGTTGTGTCCCTTAGCTTGTCAGGATCTACTATTTTGGATCATTATCCTCTGTCAGACTGAATTGTAGTTTGTAGCAGTGTTATACTATATTTCACATAAGTGAGTGAGTGAGTTTAGTTTTACGCTGCTTTTAGCAATATTCCAGCCATATCACGGCGGGGGACACCAGACATGGACTTCACACATTGTACCCATGTGGGGAATCAAACGAGGTCCTCGGCGTTGCGAGCGAAAGCTTTAACCTCTAGACTATCCCACCGCCCCTTCACATAAGTATAATGAATATTTGAAGAACTGTCTGAAGCATTAGGGTGCTTGCAGGGACTCCATCTGTAACTTCATGAAATTATACAATGCCTGTCTTTTTTTAGGTTTGGTCGCTACAGTTTTGAAATATTGCGAGCAGCTAGACTTGTTGTAGACACAGGACTCCACGCCATGGGGTAATAATAATATCAATGATAATAATTCAATAACAACAAAAACAGCAATAATAATTCAGTGCGTAACCTCACAAGCACTGGATGCTTGAAGCTGTCAACAAAGGATAGTTTGAAAATATGGATCTTTAATCATTGCTTGACGAAATTGAAGAAACTCAAGAGTTAAGTCCAAGACATCCTCGATAATCTCCAGGGTATACGCTACGATCACTCTTCACTATACCCTGGATGCATCCTGGGCTTGGCCCGATAATTATATTACCTCCCTTTGCTGGCTCCGCATTCTCACAGTAGCCAATCAGCTAAGCCGCCGTTACATCCAAGCTTGCCAGTGTCAACAAAGATAGCGGTCGCAGTCGCGAGGGTTTGTTAGCAGTGACACTCAGATTTGGGGGGAAATCATACAGACAAATTGACAGATCTGAAACTTTTAAAAAATATATGAAAGAACTCCTTCTACCTCTTTCAGAGTACCTCTGCATCAATTGTGTTGCCAAGTTTAAATGGCTAGATAATTTAAGAAGCGAAAGTGAGTTATGATTGGTTCGCTCAACTTCCCAGCGTAGACACCTGATTGGATAAAAAGCTAGCAAAGGGAGGTAATAAAATCATCGGGCCAAGCCCTGGATGCATCCAGGGTATAGTGGACAGTGATCGTAACATATACCCTGGAGAGGGTGAGTCCAAGATTGTTCCAATCAGATTCAGGATATTGTTACACTGTCTAACCTGGTAACAAATATAGCTATGGAGCCTATTGAAGACTGACCAGTTCTATGACTACTCCAGGTGGACCCAGGCTAAGGCTGTGGAGTACCTGGTGGACAATACTCTGTCTGATGAGTGGTCAATGAGGAATGAGGTCAACAGGTACATCACCATTCCTGCTCAGGTCAGTGACGCTGTATGATGGCAAGATAAGAGCTTAGTCTCTGAATACAGATTTAATTCTGATACAAAAATAACAAAAATCGAAAAGGAGACCCAGTGTGCTCAGAGATTCAAACCTGAAGAAATCTACACTTGCTCCATCTGGAGAATATGCATTACAGACATGGTTGGACGGAGGGGAAAATAATGTCTTCAGGCAGAGGCCCAGATAAGCTGCGTATCCGGGTAAAATACACATAGAAAATTTCCAATTACGCATTGAAAAATAATTGTTGCGTACCAATTACGCATTTAAAATGTTAGATACGCAAAGAAGTTTAAAACAAATGCGTACAGAATATATTTATAAAAATCGCTCGCGTAATGAAAAATACATCAATTGCTATCAAGCTGTACTGTTAGTATAGGACAAGTGTTGTACTGTCAGTATAGGATGAGTGATTTTTTATGAAATCATTTCCATTATATTTAAGTTGGTTTTGATTAGGTATAACATAAGGCAGGACATACCTGCTTAGTAAATTTACTCAATGACATAATACTTAGGTGAGTAAAATGACTGAAATACGCACATATTTGAAAGCAGTGGGTAACGGAAAATGAAATACCCACTCAACATTCATAATACCCACTCCAAAAAGATACAGTGGGTACAGTACCCACATGAGCTAAATCTTATCTGGACATCTGGGTTCAGGGACTGTGAGACGAACTATATGAAGGCATAAGCTTGCTTGTTTATCATGACACTCAGAAACATTTGGACTGTATGTTGGCAGCCCATGAACCATCTAGTATATCCAGTGAAGATAGTTTGAACACCTCACTATGACAGTATGAATGAAACACAATCATCCAAGTCACCAAGCCTGGCCACATGATCAAGTGTTTTGAGAAACACTGTGTTTCCTACTAAGTTTCTTGTTTAGTGAACAATATGAACTTTTACATTTTAGGAACAGAAAGTATTCATTGATTGAGGAAAGTATGCAATCAGTGAAATTATGGCTGTATGTGTTCAGCCTACTATAAATCAACTCTGTGCCAGACAAATGGCAACAGAATGCATGCAGAATGGTTTGTGCTATCAGTTCCCATTTACACACAACCTGCTAAGTTACCAAACTTGGTCCTGATTCATCGGCTCCTACGGCAAAGAGGGGTTACTGTTGAAAATCTACACAAGTGTCTGAATATATAAAAACTTGATGTGTATGTTTTACCAGCCATTGACAAAACTAGTATGAGGTATCTATGGCTACTAAGGGCATGTTTATTTATAAATATTTTGAACTGATTATCGTAATGATATGCATCATTTATTCAGGCTTGTGCCTACAAAATTGGTGAACTGAAACTGTGGGAACTTCGACACAAAGCAGAAAAGGAGCTTGGTAAGTAACTGAAGCTGCATAAAATCTTCCAAATAGTCTCCAGTGAGCACTTGTCTGCTTGTACCAATATCATGGCAATGTTATGGCTTGTACTGTTAGTAAACAGTAAACAGTATTATATATCAATATGAGGTTCTTGATACTACAGATCAGTTGCCAATCCTTTTATCAGGTTACAGGCCACTATTTCTGGAGACCTGCCCACTATTTCAGGTGACATGTTCAATGTTTCAGGAGACCTGCCCACTATTTCAGGTGACATGTTCAATGTTTCAGGAGACCTGCCCACTATTTCAGGTGACATATACAGTGTTTCAGGAGACCTGCCCACTATTTCAGGTGACATGTACAGTGTTTCAGGAGACCTGCCCACAATTTGAGGTGACATATACAGTGTTTCAGGAGACCTGCCCACTATTTCAGGTGACATGTTCAATGTTTCAGGAGACCTGCCCACTATTTCAGGTGACATATACAGTGTTTCAGGAGACCTGCCCACTATTTCAGGTGACATATACAGTGTTTCAGGAGACCTGCCCACTATTTCAGGTGACATATACAGTGTTTCAGGAGACCTGCCCACAATTTGAGGTGACATATACAGTGTTTCAGGAAACCTGCCCACTATTTGAGGTGACATGTTCAGTGTTTCAGGAGACCTGCCCACTATTTCAGGTGACATATACAGTGTTTCAGGAGACCTGCCCACAATTTCAGGTGACATATACAGTGTTTCAGGAGACCTGCCCACTATTTCAGGTGACATATACAGTGTTTCAGGAGACCTGCCCACTATTTAAGGTGACATGTTCAATGTTTCAGGAGACCTGCCCACTATTTCAGGTGACATATACAGTGTTTCAGGACACCTGCCTACAATTTCAGGTGACATGTACAGTGTTTAAGGAGACCTGCCCACAATTTGAGGTGATATGTACAGTGTTTCAGGAGACCTGCCCACAAATTCAGGAGACCTGCCCACAATTTCAGGTGACATGTACAGTGTTTCAGGAGACCTGCCCACAATTTGAGGTGACATGTTCAGTGTTTCAGGTGACCTGTCCACCATTTCAGGTGACATGTTATATGTGTTAGGAGACCTGCCCACTATCTCAGGTGACATGTTCAATGTTTCAGGAGATATGTCCACATTTTCAGGTGCCATATTCAATGTTTCAGGAGACCTGCCCACTATTTCAGGTGACATATACAGTGTTTCAGGAGGCCTGCCCACTATTTCAGGTGACATGTTCAATGTTTCAGGTGACATGTCCACTATTTCAGGTGACATGATCAATGTTTCAGGAGACCTTCCCACAAATGCTGGAGGCCTGCCCACAATTTGAGGTGACATGTTCAGTGTTTCAGGAGACCTGCCCACAGTTTGAGGTGACATGTTCAATGTTTCAGGAGACCTGCCCACTACTTCAGGTGCCATATTCAATGTTTCAGGAGACCTGCCCACAAATTCAGGTGACATGTTCAATGTTTCCAGAGTCCTGCCCACTACTTCAGGTGCCATATTCAATGTTTCAGGAAACCTGCTCACTATTTTGGGTGACAAATTCAATGTTTCAGATGACATGTCCACTATTTCAGGTGACATGATCAATGTTTCAGGAGACCTGGCCACAATGTTCAGGTGACATGTTGAATGTTTCAGGTGACATATTCAATGTTTCAGGAGACTTGTTTGATGTGAGAGACTACCATGCAGCAGTTCTTCAGTGTGGGCCTGTTCCACTCACTTTCCTGGAAGGAGCCATAGAAGAGTATATCAGCACCACAAAGGTTTGTAACAGTTCTGTACCACATGTAGGTGAAATGTCTATATTTTGTCATGGACCTATGCACGTTTTTCATAAGGCTGAAAACATTCATTGAAGAACATTAATGTCAAACTCGGTGATCTGATCTCTTCATAAAATCAATGTTGGATTTAAAACAATTTACGTCAGGAAGACCTCTGATATTGACTTTCTAATTAGTATTTGGGGCATTCAAATCTTTTTTCCTTTTTGATATATCAAATTAATTTACAGACCTCTAATCTCTATGTCGTTATATCACATTGTAACTTTGGTGTATCAAAGATTAAGATAGACGGCTCCCTGGTGTCTCATTCCATAACTGCTGTCTGAAGTGTAGTTTAAATTACCTAATTGAACATACCTTAATGAGTGAGTGAGTGAATGAGTTAGTTTAGGTTGACACCAGTTTTAGCAATATTCCAGCAATATCATGGCGGGGACACCAGAATAAACATTTAAGACTCCTCATACAGTAACCATCCTGCTTAAGTCATTATCCTCGCCTGATTGTGTTTCTGTTTTAAGATGAATCTGTTGCTACTTTTGTATGTTGTGTCACAGGAAAACCAGGGCTCACCTTCCAAGAAAGCCAAGGCACAGTAAATGCTGGATTGGAACAGATTCACCGACTAACCAGAAGATGATTTTAGCAAATTGTAGTTATGAATTGACATTCAGTTCAAGATATAAGACATATTGACCTCTGTGACTCCACAGTTTCATGTGGATTTGGACAATTACATTTAAAAGTCTTGTGTTCAAGAGAAATACCTGAGATATTATCTGATTCTAGTAGTTATTGTTTTTCCCCATTTACCAGTAAGATTCCATGAAATTACAAAGATATGATTAGTTGATTTAGGTGAATTGTTCACGGAATGTGAATCCAGAGATTCGTGTGAGTTTCCATAGCAGTAAACACAGGTTTTGTTAATACATATCCATTGTATATTTGAGCAATGTTATTATTGACCCCAAATGGGTAATAATTAGGTTTGATTCAATGATAATCCAAACATGATGTGTAGGGTTGTGTTTGGTTATGACAATTTTGTAGTTTTGTGAAGAGCATTTGATAAAAGTTTGCCTTATATCTTGCCAGAAAAATAGATTCAGTATTCAAAGATGAATCTTGGAGCCATTTTTGAAAAAATCACCCCCAGTCTCCTGGTGTCATTTCTAAATGTGTTGTCCCCAGTCTCCTTTCCAAATGTGTTGTCCCCAGTCTCCTTTCTAAATGATTTGTCCCAAGTCTCCTGGTGTCATTTCTAAATGTGTTGTCCCCAGTCTCCTTTCTAAATGATTTGTCCCAAGTCTCCTGGTGTCATTTCTAAATGTGTTGTCCCCAGTCTCCTTTCTAAATGATTTGTCCCAAGTCTCCTGGTGTCATTTCTAAATGTGTTGTCCCCAGTCTCCTTTCTAAATGACTTGTCCCCAGTCTCCTGGTGTCATTTCTAAATGTTTTGTTCCCAGTCTCCTGGTGTCATTTCTAAATGTGTTGTCCCCAGGCTCCTTTCTAAATGTGTTGTCCCCAGTCTCCTTTCTAAATGTTTTGTCCCCAGTCTCCTTTCTAAATGTGTTGTCCCCGGTATCCTTTCCTAATGTGTTGTCCCCAGTCTCCTGGTGTCATTTCTAAATGTTTTGTCCCCAGTCTCCTTTCTAAGTGTGTTGTCCCCAGTCTCTTTTCTAAATGTGTCATTACCAGTCTCCTTTCTAATGTGTTGTCCACAGTCTCCTTTCTTAATGTGTTGTCCCCAGCCTCCTGGTGTCATTTCTAAATGTTTTGTCCCCAGTCTCCTTTCTAAATGTGTTGTCCCCAGTCTCCTTTCTAATGTGTTGTCCCCAGTCTCTTTTCTAAATGTGTCATTACCAGTCTCCTTTCTAATGTGTTGTCCACAGTCTCCTTTCTAAATGTTTTGTCCCCAGTCTCCTGGTGTCATTTCTAAACGTTTTGTCCCCAGTCTCCTTTCTAAATGTGTTGTCCCCAGTCTCCTTTCTTAATGTGTTGTCCCTAGTCTCTTTTCTAAATGTGTCATTACCAGTCTCCTTTCTAATGTGTTGTCCACAGTCTCCTTTCTAAATGTTTTGTCCCCTGTCTCCTTTCTAAATGTGTAGCCTCCTGTCTACTGGTGTCATTTCTATATGTGTTGTCCCCAGACTCCTGATATCACTTTTGAATGAGCCATCCCTGGAATCTTTAATGGAAGAGACATCTCTCCTGGAATTATTTCAAAATGAGATACCTGCATATCCATTTCGTCTGAATGAGCCATACTTGTATCTATTCAGCCATGTCAGTTTGAGTCATCCCAGACAGGTATCTGGTCAGGGAAGTTAGTGTGCCTTGTCAATGTGATGTCCATTTCTCTGTGACAGTTTGCTGTCTCAAATTCCAATAATATTTGCCTCTCAACTGGAAACATTTTATTGAAATATCTTTCTATTCAAGGTTGGATCGGACATTGCTTTTCAACTGTCTGCCAAATATTTCCTTATGTGCAAATAGTCAGATCCAATATTACACACTAGATATCTACGTCATAATATGAGTTATATTTACTGTTTTTACTGGAATAATATATTTTTTAAAAAGACTTTGGTTTTTAAATCAGAAAGAAAGGGAAAATGTCACGAGCAATGTCAAGGGCAACAGATTTGCCAGCAACAACATCAGGGAGATACATGATCAATGTCAAGAGCTTTGGCTGCAACAACATCAGAGAAGTATAGGATCAATGACAAGAGCTTTGCCTGCAACAACATCAGGGAGATACATGATCAATGTCAAGAGCTTTGCCTGCAACAACATCAGAGAGATATAGGATCAATGTCAAGAGCTTTGCCTGCAACAACATCAGGGAGATACATGATCAATGTCAAGAGCTTTGCCTGCAACAACATCAGAGAAGTATAGGATCAATGACAAGAGCTTTGCCTGCAACAACATCAGGGAGATACATGATCAATGTCAAGAGCTTTGCCTGCAACAACATCAGAGAAGTATAGGATCAATGACAAGAGCTTTGCCTGCAACAACATTTGGGAAGATTAGGATCAATGTCAAGAGCTTTGCCTGCAACAACATCAGGGAGATACGTGATCAATGTCAAGAGCTTTGCCTGCAACAACATCAGGGAGATACATGATCAATGTCAAGAGCTTTGCCTGCAACAACATCAGAGGAAGTATAGGATCAATGTCAAGAGCTTTGCCTGCAACAACATCAGGGAGATACATGATCAATGTCAAGAGCTTTGCCTGCAACAACATCAGAGAAGTATAGGATCAATGACAAGAACTTTGCCTGCAACAACAGAGATAGGATCAATTACAAGAGCTTTGCCTGCAACAACATCAGGGAAGTATAGGATCAATGTCAAGAGCTTTGCCTGCAACAACATCAGGGAGATACATGATCAATGTCAAGAGCTTTGCCTGCAACAACATCAGAGAAGTACAGGATCAATGTCAAGAGCTTTGCCTGCAACAACATTTGGGAAGTATAGGATCAATGTCAAGAGCTTTGCCTGCAACAACATCAGGGAGATACAGGATTAATGTCAATGTCAGCAAAATCATTAGGGAAACAAAGGATTAATGTCAAGAGATTTTCAACTTTCAACTTCCTTTCCTCCAACAACTTCAGGGGAAATAGCAGGAAAGGGACAAGTTCATTTCCTCTAGCCACATCAGGGAAAAGGACACTTTTCCATCAATAACATCAGGGAGAAATAAGGGGAAAATGTCTTTTCCTCCAACATCAGGGGAAAATACAGAAACATGGGTAAGAGCTTTACCTCCAACAACATAATTGAGAAACTGCAAAAACAAGGGCAATCACTTTGCATCCGATAACATCAAAATGTGAAAATGGATTTAATACCTATGCTGATATACCGTGTGGCATGTCCAAGTCACCAAAATGTGTACTGAGGGTCTAAACTGGCAAGAGATGTACAATAAAGACCCACTGTTGGAAGTAGGAACAGAGTGACCTCAACACTCTCGCTATTAGCCCTCAGTGATGACCTGGTGTAGAATGTAAACCCAGCACTCGATTGCTGAGTATAGGAGTTAACGAAATGGGGAAGCTATAGGGAATCTATATGAACAGAGCAGGCTGCTGTCAAACTTTGCAAATTGTAAGAGTCGACTAAATGGAGCCGGTGGTCAGGCTTGGTGACTTCCTCATTCTATGAATACACAATGCCATTTAGAAAGTGGTCAAATGTAACATATGATATATTTGGGATTACACTTTCTTAGTAAAGTACAGATTCTAGTACTCTTGGGGGGTTGAGTCCCAACCGGATTTGAACCCCCACCCTCAGACTCCGGCACCTATTCGGCAGCACACAAAGTCAGCCGCCTAACCTGTTCAGCCACTGTCGACTTAATGGGGGATGAATGTGATCAAAATGGACATTGTGGATGTTTTCCACCTTGGTGAATCCCCTAGCAGGGCTAAGGTGCTGACAAACCTAGAAACCTGATCAGGCCGAATCGGGATTCCAGCCCACTCTCATTGATTTCTCCACCCTTCACAGAGACTTGTGGTACCTCAAACGACTACTTGTGCCTCTAGAATAAAATGAGGGTAGATTAATTCCTTTAGTACCTGTTTACAAACATATAATCAACATGGAGACATTTTAAGGGTTCATTTCACTGAGCCAATTGTTTATCTATCCAGCATGCACACAAGAACAATAATTTTGCATGTACCACAATTAGAGGTGAGGTGAAACTGGGTTTAACGTCGTGCTTGAGAATATTTCGCTCATATGACGACGTGCATGCGTGTGTATGTGTATGTGCGGCTGCTTGTACTAGCCCAGACTTAAGCTGGTTTTATAGTGCTAGCCCACTGAGATACCATGCCGCAGTGAAGCATGAATACCCCACTCAGACACATTATACTGACTCCGAGCCGACCAGTCCTTGTTGTACCCATTAATGCCGAGCGCCAGGCAGGGACCAACAAGTACCATATTTCAACGTCTTTTGGTATGACGCGGTCGGTGATCGAACCCGCGACCTTCCGCTCTCCGGGCGGACGCTCTAACCACTACACCACGGAGGCGGTCACCACAATTAGATTATGACACTACAAGGAACATACTTCACCATTCTAAACCACAAGAGGTAGCCACGAATCTAACAAGATATGCAGTCCGTTTGAAAATCTGTTTTCCGCAGGATTACAGTTGAAAAGGTTGATTTGGAATAGTAATATGCCTAAGCACAGACCATGTGTTTAAAAATGTCACAAAAGGTATTCACCGTTAGGCCCACTTCTTTCGTCGAAAGAGTCAGAAGGGTTGTAAGATCCACCAGCGCCAAGCAAATCAGCTGATTCAGTTGCAACAAGGCGTCTGAGGTTGTTAGTTCTGTTGTATACAATTATTTCATGTGGTATGATATTGTACTATGGCGTCAGCCAACTTGTTTACTTTAGACCACCCAAGTTGTCCAGAAGATGATTCCCTCATTGAATTAAATCATCAAAGCACTGCCAACCAACTGTAATTCACCAAGTATTATCTCAACTATCCTGCTCTCAGTTTTTCTGTGTTTTCTCTGCAATGCAAATATATAGATGTCTTTGAACTATTCAAATGGTGTAAAGGGGCTTTTTTGTGACTTCAATGACGTCACGAAACTAATCCAACGCACGAAAAACTCTCTGAAGTGTTTCAATGAGGCAGAAAAAGAACTGCTTCTCAAGTTGATTACGTGGTATACAACCTAATGTACCTGGTGTAATCCAATTAGAAACTGGAATGAGTTCGGAGAGAGGTGAACATTTCACCCGATCCCCCTACTCCAGACTGTAATGGTGGTCAAAGAAGTGCTGGAGTTCATTATAGGCACATTTGTTAAATTCCTGACGCTTCCGATCCTGCTTTATCGCTTGGTGCATTTTTCCGATAAAGGACGTATCTCGAGTTGTTAGGTTTTGTTAAGCTTGACAATCGTAATATTCCAGCAATGGGTCAGCCTGTATATAACTGAGCATGGACCAGACAATGCAGTCATTATGATAACGTGCTATCAACCAACGATTCCTACCACCCATCTAGTGGCCAAGATTTACGCATGACCTCTTAGTATCATCGTCTTCATGGATATGGGCATCTGGTGGAGTTCGAGTAGGATTCAGTCGACTTAAAGGGGCATGTTGGCAAACCATGTGATGGACCACTGCTTCTTGTTGCGTAAAACCACTTTCTTTTAAATATGCTGTTTACAGTTTTAGTTGTTCAGCAGTGTAAAAGATCCTTTACTCAACAATAAACGTAGGAACAAATTTGGGGAGAATGCTGTTAAAATGCTAGAGTTATATGCACATACTAGGGTAAAGCATTTGCTATCAAAATATCATTTTGTGGGTAGTTTGTTTTTGGTTGAAACATACACCAAATTATCATGACATGTTTTTACATGTCAATGTGATTAGTATTAGAAAGTATGTTTCATTGGACTTCGAAGGAATGTATCGGTAAGCCACAGGACCATTATTTGTACATGGACTGGGCTGCTTTTGCCTCCTCACAGTATCGTATTCAATTGTGAACGCTCCAGGCACGCTTTCCAGCAACTGGATTGGAATGGAGTGTTTTTCCCGACAATGTTGAAAATCGAATAAACTATGTACTAGTAAACTTATTTCTCATTCGTTAACATTCCCCGGAGTAATTGCCAAGACGTTTATTTTAGTGTCAGCAGGATGACGTTCTCCTCCTGGATGTACATGCACATTGTATACAACCTACGATACACGCACTGAAGGTTCAAGTTATCTGCCCTCATTGCATTACAGCAGTTGGGTGGTACAGTAAATAGTGTGTTCATTCAAGACACCTTGGCCAAAGGTCAGTTTATTGCTTGTAGGATACTGTCCTCATCTCCACCAGCTTCTCCCAGCTGGAATCAACTGACAGTGCGTAAAGAAAATAGCCGACCAATCAAATTACATCAATGGACGAGACGAGAAAAGGGATGAGGTGGTCAAGTCGTTCCCCTAACGATGCTAATTGGTAGTGATGGGTCCAGGATAATTATCATATGAGGATTACATAATTACCATGAGTGGACATGAGTTATAAGTTTGTACAAAGCATGAACATGCGTTATATGTAATAGGAATACGGATACACCCCGATAGTACTGAAATGATCCGTTAACGTGTAACTGAACATCAACAACCAATGTTCTTAGCTGAACATTGCAGCAATCGACACAATAAGTGACAATGTAAATGTCCCAAAACCTATATTTAACGGCGAGTAAAATATACTTTGAATTTAAAAGCAATTAAAAAGTGTTTTGCATGAGGAGACCAAAAATGCTTGATATTGTATCACAGGTAGAGCTTGGTGCCATATAGGCAGCTGCTGACTTTCATCACAAGTCTGGCTGCCGTCAAATTACTCGCATTGATATTCGGACCTCACAGACCCCTAGCCCCTGGTCAGCTGATGATAATTCCAAGGATTCCAGGGGTGGTGGGGTAGCCTAGTGGTTAAAGCGTTCGCTCGTCACGCCGAAGACCCGGGTTCGATTCCCCACGTGGGTACAATGTGTTAAGCCC